GGCCTAAGATTTTATTCTAACAAAAAGAAAAAAAAAATTTTGACGGATTTCCTTTTACGCCAAAATCTACGTCCAAATTTACAGAAGGAGTGCATATTTCAAACCGCAATCTTTTTTTTGATTAAAGTGCAATCCTCTGACCAGACGTAGATGTTGAAGTTTCCTTGGTTCGGATCGCGTGGTTGGACACGATAACCTAAAATCATTGTACAAATAAACGAACCACCGTACGCAAACTGTTTTACTTATGCATTTTCCTACAAACAAAAATTTTATAAAATGAAACTGTAGTAGTTTTATCTTAGGTGGATGGTTCATGTCACAAATACTTAGTTTTGAGCTTATATTTATGTATATATATATATATTTATTTTTTTTGCAGCGCCACATCTTTATTTGAAAATCCAACAGCACGCAACACCACCAACAACAGCGTGCAACACCAGCAACAACAGCGCGCAACACCAACAACAGCAGCGCGCAACAACAATAACAACCAGCGCAGCTACCATAGCGCGCAACACCTTCAACAGCGCGCAACATAAGCGCGCAACAACAACAACAACCAGCACGGCTACCATAGCACGGAACAACACCGACAACAACAATAGTGTGGCTAACGCGCAGCAGCAACACCGCCAAGAGCGCGGCCACCTCAACAACGCCACCAACCAGCGCGGCTACTATAGTGCTGCGCAACATCGGCTATAACAACGCCCGCCACAGCAGCGGGACAACAACAGCGCGCAACAACAACAACCAGCGCAGCTACCATAGCGCGCAACACCTTCAACAGCGCACAACGCTAACAGCAGCAGCACTCAACACCCAACAACAGCGCGCAACACCAGCAATAACAACACCCGCCACAGCAGCGGGGACAACAGCGCGCAATAGCAACAGCAATAGCGCTCAACACAAACAAAAGCAGCGCGCAACACCAGGAACAACCACGTGCGCAACACCAACAACAACAACAACCAGCGCGGCTACCATAGCGCTGCACGACTCCTGCAACAACAACAACAGCAGGCCGCCACCAAAGCCTGCTGCAACACTAGGGTGAGTGCTTCGTGCCTAGAAATCTTCTTTTCCTGAATAAAACATTTTTTTTCTTAAGAAATTAACAGTAAGCTAACAAAAAAAAAATTGTTGGAAAAAAAGAAAGAAACACAATACCTTTAAAATTATAAATCTAGAAAACCCAAGAAATTAAGAGTAAACTAAACATGAAAAAAATTATCGGAAAACAAAGAAACCTCTGAAAATAGGAATTTGAAAAAAATAGAAATTAAAAGTAGGCTACAAGGTATATAAAAAAAAAAAGTTAATATTAAGAATAAAAATTTTATGTTTTATTCTTATCCTTAGCTGTTGGATACATATATACACACCAACGCAGGTATATACCTGGATACATATATAGGTAGATAAGGGAAATAAAAGTTAGGATTGATTAACTCAGATTAAATAGAAACACAAAAAAAATCAAATAAAATCTTAACTAGAATTTGATTAATATAAATTCAAACGAAATTAAATCAAATTAAATTGACCTAAATTAAAATAAAATAAACTATAAATTTATTTTAAATAAAAATAAGTTTAAACTAAAAGCTTAACGAAAAATTCAAAAATTCAACTATAAAACCAATTTTAAATAAATAACCATAAATACAATAAAAGAAAATGGCCACAATAATATAATATAACGAACTTATATTCAACAATTTATATTGAGCTCGAGGCCGTTTTTTAAATGAA